GGAGGGAGGGAGAGAGGAGAGAGGAAGAGGGAGGGAGAGGATGATGGAGGAAGAGACGGGTGAGAGTGACACAGGGAGGGGGAGAGGATGGGGGTGAGACAGGGGAGGGTCTCCTGACAGAAAGCTCACCTGACTCACCTGACACGATGGGGGCCATGCGGACAGCAGGACTGCTCCAGCGGCTCTGCGCCTCCGTCTCCTCGTAGGGCGAGGCCTCGTACTCGTAGTACCCTGGGCGGCAGACAGGACAGGCGCGTTAGTGCAGCACTGCGCTGGCCACGCCCCCAGCTCTCGCGTCGCATTTCCGAGAGCCGTGCTCTCCTCCTTCAGGTCCCGGTGGTCTCGGAGACCTCGGTGCTCTCGGCCCTGCCAGCCCGGGAGGTCAGGACTCTCACTGACAAACCTGCCCAGGTACCCCAGAGATTACCGGGTACCAGCTCACCAGGCAGCCCCACACACACACACAGACCTTCGGAGTCAGCCGGCAAGATGCAGTGCCCTGCCGGTTTTCTCACAGCCCCCCGTCCCCTCAATAAGGACGAGCGGTAAAGCGGCGTTGCAGTCTGAGCTGGGAGAGCTGGGAGAGCTGGGAGAGCTGCGGACCTCGCCGCGCGCTCCTCTTCAGACCGGCAGGGCGGGCTGTGACAGGGCGACGCGGTGAGGCCCCAGCACAGAGCCCGACAGACACGGCGAAACCAGGCTCTGCACTACACACAGGCGGAGCCCTGCTCTGACAGCCCTCAGCACCAACGATCAGCGCCAAGCCCGTTACATACTGAAACCCACGTGAGTCTGAGACTCTCGCCCTTCACCAATTATCCAATTAGCCCATTAATGACGTCATCCTCCCCACTTGACCCACGAATGACCGGTGACTGAGGTCCAAACGCCCGCTGGGGGCAGATCAGCTGAGACTAACGCACCCCTGGGGTCTGGTTCCGAAGAGGGCAGTGCCAGCACCAGCCTCCCGCACCAGTGACACCAGCGGGGACGGACCGGCTGAGCGGCACCCATGCGCCACTGGCCCCGCCCCCGTGCCGGCGGGTGATTGGCCAGGGGCGCGGGGCGGGGGGCGGGGCCGGCTCTCACCCTGCGAGTAGCGGACTGTCCAGTAGACCCGCAGGCACTGCTCCTCCTTCCGGGTGCCGCGCTGACACTTGCAGGCCAGCAGGGGGCTGTGCAGCAGCGCGGCCTCCGCCGCCACGCACTCCCGCCGGGCGTCGGGGCCCAGGGGGGCCACGGCCTCCTCGGAGGCGCAGTACTCCAGCACGTGGTAGCTGGTCTGGCACCGGGGCTCCGAGGCGCACAGCTCCTCCGCCTCCACGCAGTCCGCAGGGGGCAGCAGCTGAGTCGCCAGGACGCCACTTCCTGCGAGGAGACACACCGGGGATGTCCATTACCTGTTCGCTTCCTGCTGGACAGGAACGCCTGTCCACCACAGGGCCACAGAGCCAGGGACAGTTCGGAGCAGCCAAACAAACCCAGCTGCACGTCTCTGGGAGGGTCAGTTGAGAGTGGACAGTCAAACCCAGCCGCAGGTCTCTGGGAGGGTCAGTTGAGAGTGGACAGTCACACCCAGCTGCACGTCTCTGGGAGGGTCAGTTAAGAGTGGACAGTCACACCCAGCCGCATGTCTCTGGGAAGCGGGAGGAAACCAGAGCCACAGAGAAACCCTACACGAACAGGGGGGAAACATGCAAACTCCACACAGACAGGTCCCCAAGATTTAGGACCCAAGAATTGGAAGATAGCAGCACTGACCAGCTATGCCTGTAGGATAGAGGATACAGTCTAAGAACCTACATCAGGACACTAGAATATTGCAATGTAAAAATACGAGGACGTTCACACATTGTGTCACAGAGACAGTATGACATTAACAGATTGTGACACAAGGACACTGGGACATTCACATGTTCTGACACAAGGACACTGGGGCATTCACACATTGTGTCACAAGGACACTGGGACATTCACATGTTCTGACACAAGGACACTGGGACATTCACACATTGTGTCACAAGGACAG